GGGAAGCTGAAAAAGTCCTTGCCTGGTGTAAGCCCTGCTCAGCAACAACTGAACCATCAGTGAGTTATCAACATTCTTCTAGTACTGAATCCAAACCACAGCACTGTGCCAGCTACTAGGAAGAAAATTAACTCTGTCCCAGCTGAAACCAGGACAGTTTTCCATGTACTTTTTACCGATATCTTGTACTTTAACTAAAATCAAAATAGTTCTGTTTTGGTGAGAATCAAAGGTGTGCACCATTTAATATATTAGGTCAAATAAGTCTTTGTTAATACATGTTCTGAAGAGAGATTTTTTTTCCTTTTGTTTGGCCCCACAGTAAAGCTTTTGCCTTTTCATGCCTCTGCTTTCCTAGCCTTTCTGCCATAGGGAATGTCAGGATACCTGAATTGTTTTGGGTTTGGGTTTTTTTTTTTTTATTTTGAACTACTCAGAGTAATGAGTTTAGTCACTAGCATCTTTCTAGTACTCATGTTACAGATCTTATTTTTACTGGAATGCTGAGAACAGAGCCTGTAAGGGCAAAGGGATACCCTGTAAGTTGAACTGGTTTTTTGTGGCAAAATATGAACAAAATATCATTGTTGATTACTGAATGTTTTTTAACTTGTAAAAGCCAGACTTGAGTCTCCTTTAGCTCTTTGGCCTTTTGCCTCCCTGAGGGAGCTGTGGGATGACGATGTGAAATTCACTTTCTATTCGGAGTTTGTTCCACAGCTTACATTGACAAGAGATGTATATTTAGCTGTTAAAAGTGCTTTTGCAAAGAAAGATTTTTAAGGTGTCCTTTAATTCAGCTGTAGAGAACATTTTGGTCATTTAAGTTGGAACTCTATGATTTGAAGTCATTTATGGTATTTTTGTCTTCATGTTTCTAGCATCTACTGAGAAAAAAGTTAGCTTTCTAAAATAGGGGAAGTTTCCTAAAACTTGGTATTTTGGACAGTATAGGGATAATAAAGGCAAGATAATTCTACCGGAAAGTAATAATAAAAATAAATTAATTCCCATTTACTTAAACATTTAGTTCATCATTTATTTGTCAGACCCATATGGCCTCTTTGTTGAAATCAATGGTAAATAACTATAGAGCTGTCCTGTTGGCTCAAAGGGCGTGAATGTAGTTGCTATTGCGAGCCCTTTTGAGATTTTCTGGGCATTGTCTCCTCTCAAAGTCATTGGTGTTGAAGGCATTTGCAGAATTACAAGCGTAGAATCATTTTAGGTTTTAGCCCCATCTTGAGACTTCATTCTAAATGAAGGAAAAAAGTCAGAAACCATGTGGCTGCAGTGCTGCACTCAAGGATAGTTTTAATAAAGATTCCCTAAATACAAGTGGGAATTTGCATGACTTACCTGCAGTGGTGTGCAAATATCAATAAAGCTTGCTTCTTATTACACATCTTCATCTTTTTCTTCTTTTTAAAGGCTTAATTAAGGGTAAGAATAATTGTTGCCTCAGTTGGGCCATCCTTTTCAAACAGAGATCATCATTTCCCGAGGGCTGCCTTTCAAAACATTCAAACAACCCAACTGAAAACAGTTAATGCTAATGATTCATAAAATAAGAACTCTTTGAACCATTTTGACTTACTGTTTCAGGTGATGCTGTGAGCACTTGAATAGCATGAGAGGACTCTTGGCTGCCTCTGTAATTTCCATCCAGAACTCCTGCTTCACCTATCCTGCCTGTCAAAAATGCTTTTCTAGGCTGATACTGGATTCTAGGAGGTATGTCCTATTTTGGGGTTTGTTAACTGTAACTGTCAGAGGCCTTGGGAATCGCTGGGAGCTGAACACAAATTAAAACAAAACGGTGACAATCCAGCCATTGTATAAATAAGTGCTAATTTCAGATATTTGTTACTTATCACTATTTAGACCTCTTTGTATTGCAGTGGCAGCTTGTAGATCATTATGGGTCAAGACTTCTCTTGTGTTCAGTGCCATGCAATATCAAAGGACAGTTTAGGAGAATAAATTATGTGTGTTAATAGCTTCCAAGTGCATCCCCTGCAGTCCATCCAGTTCTTCAGTGCTGTTCTTAAGTTGTAAAGCATTGACTGAAAGCCCCTCCAAATCAAATCCTAACTTGTTTTTTCATTTCTTCTCATTCTATATGTGCAATGCATCAGGTAGTCCTGTATGACTCTTCCACTTACTGTGTGTCCAGAAACATATAAGCTTTCCTTTTTAATCCCACTGTCAGGTGAAATCTGTGACACACAGAAGAACAGTAAATCAATGTCAGCACTAAGTGAAAGGAGCTGACTTTGTAAAGCAAGAATATCTTTTGTTTCAAATGCTGAAGTAAAAGACAACAGTGCTGTTTCCTGATAATTTTTTAAATCTAGGTATTATACTAAAGCTATGGGAAGAAAAATCCCCAACCAAAATGAAATGTGAAAAATGGGGGTGCAGTGAATTCAAAATTACTCCTCAACAGGTCATTCAAAGCCCACTGTCTCTCTCCACCTTCACAACAGGCTAGCATGTAGTAAATCAATAAAAGAAGCCAGAGGGATTCTGTCATGATACAGACACCTTGCTGGTGCCTTAAGGAGCAGAGTGAGAAAGAATCTTACTGCTTGTAATGGAATATTTGGTATGTTATAGTAGTAATTATTACAGCTGCAGATAAGTTCTTACTTCAGCAGTGATTAACAGAAGTTCATATATTTGATTTTTTTTTTTTTTTTTTTATCCTAATGCTGTCTTTTGTCAGGTTTAACTGTCTAAAATGCGGCTGCACAGGTCAAGCTAAAGATGCAAACTACAGGTACAGACTGTCCCTCAAGATTGCTGACACTAATGATTTGTTTGACATAACCGTGTTTGGAAGTTGCTTAGATCCGTTCTTTGGGGTCACCGCAGAAAATCTGCAGAGGTGAGGAATGGATTGTTTGTAACTATATAGCTGCTGCTTTTTCTTCAGCCTAAAAAAAAACCTGAGATGAGCTTGGATGGTGGGGAGATGAGTGGGAAGGAGCTGCTAAAGTGCTCCCTTCCAGCATTTCCTTGGTACCCATCACCTTGAGAAAATGCTGAAGTTTGGTTTCTTCTTGAAATTTTGAGATGGATAATTTCTATGTAGTAGAAGAGGTCCTCCACTTGTCTGTGGAAGGCAGCTACCATCTGCTAAATGAGCTTCACAATTGGGTTGGTTGGGCTTCTTCCTTGCGTCCTTCCTCCTTTATTTGAGATGACTGGATTTCCGTTGTCTAATGTCAGATTACTAAGTAAGTTGGCTTTTCCGGAGGTGTAGACATATTTTTTCCTCAGGATTTTAGAAGAAGAATTTTAAGGTACAGATAGAGCCTTTGGGTTTTGGTGTTGTGTTTTTGTTTTTTTTTTAACAGTTTGGATTTAAAAAAAAAAAGTGTGTGTGCACCTTATGTCTTTAATTCAGTGTGACCAGATTTTCCTTTAGCAAGGAGGGATTTCTAAGAAAGCCTATTAGTCCTCAGAGCCTGACCACCTACAGTATAAGCTCCAGACTTTCTGATACGTGAAACTGCTAGGATGGGATATTTGGGTACATTCGCTGCTTGCTTCTCAATTCTGTTGTTTTCCAATGACTTGGGACACTTTTAAAATCCCATATTAGCAGCATTAATAACATACCCGTGGCAGGCATTTTACACTAGGCTGCCGCACTACTGTCAGCTGTGAAAAACAGAGTTATTTGCATGTCTTAATATGGATGCTGTTGTTGCTGCAAAGGTGTGGGCAGAAAGGATGTGTAAGCAATAGCAGCATGCTGACAGCATTATACAGTCATTGTGTTGACACAAAAATCACAGCCACATGGGGAACACCCAAACGTGGTGTATGTATTAAGCCTATTCAAAGCGGTTGTTTTGTTTACTTCTATTTTACTAGCAAATTAAGTGAACTAAACAATTGACTTTGTAGGTTCGTGGTTTCCTGTTTCCATTCTATGTTTACTTTAAGCCACCACTGTATCTTGTCTTTAGCTTGTGTCCTACCTATACTACAGCTAAAGTGCCACGTAAGGCTTCCTCTGTTGGTGCCCTACTTCTGTATGTTGTTACCCAAGGTGTATTCAAGACTTCAATCAGCTCTCCGGAGAAACACACGCAGATGCATCTCCAGGAATGTTAGTTCAAGCAGTGGAAACCTGTTTCATTGGAAAAAGATTTATATTTGGAGTAAAGGTAACTTCTAATCTACATTACTCTCTTATAATGAGTTTTTTCATTAGCTTGTAACCAGCTGGGGGCATAGACTAAGTTACCAAAGCATCATGTACAACATCTTTTGGGAATTTGAGAAAATTTAGAGCTAGGACATGGGAAGGATTCTGCTCCTCTTCCCCCAGACTCCTGTGTTATTTTAAATGAGTCACATCCAAAAGTCATCCTGAATGGCAGTAGTCAGCTTGACAGCTTGTCAGGGCTGCTTTTCAGAGAGCCTGAGCAGTGCCAGCTCCTGCGTGTATCGGTAACAGCTTGGAGTCTGTAAAAAAAAAAAAAACAGTTCAGGCAAGAAACAGACTGTCTTTTCAAGCACTGCCCTACCTTTCCCATGCTGCATAGTCTCCTGGTGTCTGAAACGTAAGAAGAAACACATCCCCTTGCAACATTTTGATATTTCTGGATTTAAAAGCATGTCTAAAAATGTTGATAAAGTGCAGCTGTTCAACGTAGGCATCTGTGGCTCTTTTCTGTGTTTAGCAGACTTTGAAATATTAGTTCTTAATAATATTTCCGTAGAAACAGTCTTCTAAGTTCTCTTCAAGTGGTGCTTGTGTGAGTCATTCACGTTATGAAATCTGTGAACTAAATCCTACCTGGCAGGTGTTTTTCTTCTGCCACAGGTACCGTGAGGTTTGTACATGAGCATGGCATCTTCAGTAATGGAAGTTGGAGGACTTCATGGATTAACTTTACTTAACTGGAACCATTCTCTAGGTCTGATGCCTTTACAAATATAAGTAATCCTACATATCAACAGCCTTGTGGCTGCTCCTGCACGCACAAGGACTGAATACACATTCGAAGACCATTTGTTCAGCCTTTGGCTGTAGACATTTCTGTATCGTTGAGTTCAGCTAGGCATACAGTTGCACTCTCCCAGATAAAACTCAGAATCAACATAACATACTTCTTTAAGACTTATCTAGGAGGGTATTGTCCTTGGCTAACAGCCTTCAGCCTCAACCTTTGCATAGACTCAGGGAGTGAGTAGGAGGGTTGTTGAATTTGAAGACAGCTATATTTGCTTTTTGGCCTCTCTGGCATTGACAGACCTTGAGGGAGGAGGTGAAAAAGGGTTTATCTGCATCTCAAAACATTAGATAATTCCCTCTACTTTTAATGTCATTTTTCACCTATAATTTCTGTGTAGAGAAAAGCAGGTTCTATAAAGAATTGCAGCTGAAGCTGTTTTGAAACACTACTCTCCCAATAAATCTGGGAAGGTTAAGGTTGTAGCTTATTTCCCCTTCACAGAGGTAGCGCATAGAAAACATCATGCTGGCTTCAATAGCTGAGCTGCCAAGTCATCTATCTGGTACCGGAGTGCTTTGCTTCAAGTACTGCCCAGTGCCTCCCAGATAAAAACAGCATTGGCCTGAGGCAGCTAGCCATTTGCACGGAACTGCACTGGAGGAAGCCCGGAAGCACCCAGTGCCCTAAAGGGAGGAAGACATTTTCTGTGAAGTCCTTTCTTAGAATTCTTGGTTGTTTTTCCAGCTCCAAAACTCTGTGTAATTGCAACAAGCAAAGAACCTCTCGCTGTGATGCCCTTTATAGCCCTTGCCAGTGCTTATTTCCCAGGGAGTACTGCTTTGTGTGACAGACTGTTTTGTATTCTCTTCCCTGCAGATCCTGACAAAGTGAGACCTAAATTTAAGCCTGACTTAAAAGACATGCGTTAATTTATTTATTTTTTCTATCACAAAATAAAGCATTGCACTAAGTTATTGTTTTATTTTATTTTTTTTCTTTTTCCCCCAGGGTTGTGCAAGGGAAGATGGAGGGCGTTCTACTGCCAGCAGCATCTTGCAAAACTGTTCCAGAATTAATAGAACTACAAAAAACCTTACAGCTTGCCAGATCTTCCTGCCAAATGCTGCTGTTACTGGCTTTACTGTTATCAGCTACTTCCATCGGCTTCTGCGGTCAGCAAAATCCAGGAGCTGTAATAACAGCTCATACTTACCTGATGCATCTTCAGCTCCAATAGATGAACCTGTCAGTGAGCTCAGCAGCTTGTCTAGCCCGAGCAGCAACTCCTGCTTTGTTCAGTCTAGTAGCAGAGAAAGTTTTTTCGAGTCCTGGCAGCAGTCCTTCAGCCTGACTTCATCTGTTGCTTGGGTAACAGCAGAAGACTTCCCCACTCTGGAAGCGGGAAAGCTGGTGAGTGAACAGCATGAGCAAGAGGGGTGGCCTGTCTCTGCAGAATCATGCAGTGTAAGCCTCAACAATCAAACTCTTCGGGATTCACGGTTTTGCAGCTCTGCTGTGAAGGAAGGGGATAAAGAGGAGGAGGACAATGAATTGAGTTCACAGCTTAGCCAGACGGACAGTATCTCTGCAACTGATAAATTCAAGGGAGTATCCTCTTCAAAGTCTGAGTGTTCACATGGAAGCAGTTCCAGGTTTTTACAACATCCCTTGGAATTTGGGGTAAAAAGCATTTACCCAAAGACTAACAGTAGAAATTATTCTTACCCAGAAAAATCTCACAACTCCCTTTTTTACAAGAGAGATGCCTCAGCTTCTAATCATGTAAATGTAGCAGGAGTGTCTCAGACGGACTCTATGCTTTGGGATGAGCTCCCATTCTCAGAAAGCCTAAATGAATTTTTAGCCAGAATAGAAGGTGGCAAGAGTGTTGTTACATCACCCAGCTTTGATGCGGGCAAACAGGCCCTTCTTGAAAATAGTGAGTTGGTTGTAAATCTTAAGAAACCATGTTCCAGGCAAACCCTAGTAGCTGGTGATTTGCCTGAAGTGAGCGTCCCCAGGAGGTTCTTGCCACCAGCAGAGAATGATAGTTGGGAGAACATATTGTTTGCTTGTCTTCAGTCGAATGCAAATCCCCCGAGCAATGAGGTGTCACAACGTGAGTCTTCCTCTAGTGTTTTATCTTCAACTGACAAGGAATGCAGAGCATCTTGCTTTATACCTAACCCTCCTCTACCTATTCTGTCACAGTCCTTGCCAGTGACATCAGAGCCTTCTGTTCCTGAGAGCAGATATGTGGGGTTCAAAGAAGCAAATACTGACGTTTCAAAGTCAACTTGGTCCTTTATTAGTCTGCAGCGTACTGCTGAAAATGGAGAAACCTCCTGTTCAAAAAGGAGCAAGGCAGCTACCTGCGTGCATTCTGCGCATGATAGCTGCTTAGCTAGTTGTGAAAATAAAGAAAATTATTCTTTTACACCAAGCCAAAGAACGGATCTTACATTCACAGGGGCATGGGACTCTGATCCTGCAACTCCCAACAATACAAGGATATATAAAAGAGAATTAAAGCCATTGACAGAACTGCCAGAAAACACCTTCAAAAGTGTTAATAGGAGAGAGGTGCTGTGGAACAACATCTTCCCTGAAGGCAGCTACAATGCTTCTGCTGAGCTCTTTGATGCAAGTGCAAGGGAGGTAGCAAAACCGGGGGAATTCTTAAATAAATCATGTCATTCTTTAATACAGGAAGATACTTTGACAGAAAAGGTCACAGCTCCTGAATTGGTGCTTTATCCTGGAGGTG